TTTTCTGACTCTCAAGAAGTGAGAGGTGTCAGTGAGAACTTCTTCAGGTACAAGAAAGTTTAAGCCCTGTGTAGGGAAGTCATTATAAAAGGAAGGAGGGTTGAAACATCAATTTGTCCCAGTTCCATGCCATCATTAATAAGTGTCTTGGTTTTCTGTTTCCTTATAGAAAGTTTTGGAAACTTACTCCTGTGCAAGCATAATTTTTGAAAGATCCTTTAAGGAAGCTATTAAGTCTGCTAGCATATGGAGAATTTATAATTTCTGCAAGTGTTATATAGGAGAGACCCTCTCATGTGAGCATATGATGCCTTTAACTCGTGTTATGAAATCTGCCTCTGTATCTGGCAATGATTTCAAATTTCCTGAAGTCTCTGTTTAAACTATAACAGAACTCCCAAGCACAAACTGTCACTGAAGGGGAACTAAAGTTATGGTGTGTTATGCTTAGGTAAAAATATTAACAGCATATTTTAATTGTTTAGGCAGAACAGACATAAAACGATGATGTGTACATTTTCAAAGTAGTCTTAGCATTTACTTTTGTGTTCATACTGATGCTCAATCACTCCCTTTCTTCCCTATGTTCCAAAAGACATTGATGTGTTTCTAAAATGCACGTGGTCTCGTGCCTATAACGGACTGTGTTGGTTTAGGCCCTGCCGGGACCGGAGCCCACGCTGCCGTTGTCTCTCCCCCACCCTTGGATGGGGCAGGGAGTGAGATACAAACCCCAGGGTTGAGATGAGGAAAAATTTAATACAGCAGTGTAGCAAATAATAAACTGACCAACAACAACAGCAATAACAATAAACAGTAATAACAAACAGGACAAGAGATATACAGAGGTATACCACAAGGGTAGAGCAGCGAAGGGGAGCGACGACGAACAAAAGCTGTCGCTGCTCTTCCCGCGCTTGGGCGCCTGGACCTGACCTCAGCATGGTATTGAGTAACCCAGCTGGAGCTCCCTCCCCACTGCTGGGGAAACTTAACCCTATCCTAGCTGAACCAGCGCATGAACACTGATTCTGCTGGCTATTTTTTTTTTTTTTCTAATAATAATTACCAACTGCATGAGAAATGGTGGCTTTTCTCCCCTCCCAGAAGCCCCCCTTTGTTACAAAAAACAATTTATTTCATATGATGGTTTTCACAAAGAATTGTAATCCTCCCAGTTGACCATCTCACCTCTGACCGGATATCCCACTTGCACCTCTTTTAAAATAGGTGGTTATGAAATGTTCTGCTCTTTTCCTTTTGGAGTATGAAATGAATATCCTGTATGTGGGTGTTATGGGTGATTCTTGCACAAGTAAAAGTTGTGTAACACTGATGACTGGTGAAAGTTTTTTTGCAGTGCTAATACACGTGTATTTAAATCACATACTTCCAACCATGTAGTTTCTTTTTAAGATAATATATGTGGTTAGAGTTTGTTTTGCTGGAACTTAACAGTTATCAGCTGGAATAAGTTCACAAAAGCCTGTGTTCCTGTGTTACCTACTTGTATAGGTAGTTTGGTGGTCAGTCATCTGACTCGGAGACCTTTGACTGCTTATACTCTTGTTCTCTCCAATACTGTTTAACTCTTCTACAGGTCTATAGCAAGCTCTGTGAAGACATGAAGATAAATGAGTGTTTTTTCCCTAAAAATCCAATGCATCTAAAATATTAGGGTATTGCTGTTAAAGTGTTTACTATGTTTTCCCCTAAAGAAGAGCTTCATTTTAATTTGTCTGAATTAATCAAATGCTAAAAGCAGCTCAAGTAGTGTGTTTTCTGTCAGAAAGCACAGCCACTTATGTAGGTCTACTACTGAAGCTGGCAGGGGCTTGAATTATTTCTGCAAAAGTTTTTATATGTTCTATAAGTTTATATAAATTTCCTTTCGAAGTTGGGGCTTGTATGCCAAGCTTTAAAATGAGAAAGTAAATTTTTATAGTCCTGTTATAATGGAAAACTTGGCCTTAATTATTGTCACATGAATTGACTTAAAATTGGAAAAATTAAGCAAATAATGGAATTATAAAATCATATTTTATTCTAGTAAGTCTTTAGAAAGCCAACATTATAGCTTAAAATAATGCAGCAAATAAAGGTGTTTACAATTAGTTATGTTGATTCTTTGCCACCTTTCTCTGTCCTCCTGTGGAAAAAAAACACAAACAAAACAAAACCAAAAAAACCCACAAAACCCCACAAAACACTGTTTAAGGTGAAAGCTGTTTCTATCGTATTTTTTCCAAGACAAACACTCAGTGCCTGGTGCTTTATCCTTGAAAATTAAAATAAAATATTTTCATGTAATCAGTAAATTTTGTTATGAAACTTTACAGCAGCTATATTAAACGATAAGAATAACTACTATTTTGAAATTCTGAACATCTTATAATTAGACCAGCCTTTAAGAAATACTCAGAGTTAAGGCACATTAGAATGTATTCCACAACATGGAGACAGCCCTGACAAAGAAACATTATTCTTAGATTTACAATTAATTACCCTTATGTCTATACCTTGCATTCAATTTGCATATCTTAAAAGTGCTGTAAATTTCGTAGCACTCCCTTGTTATTTAAGATCATTCTGCTTTAGTAAAAGTTTCTACAGTGATAACTTTCTCTTGATTATGTAGTTGTGAGGTCAATAAATCTGGCTTTACTTTGCTCTACAATGTTATAATTTTTCTTTTTTTGTGTGTTTTTCATTATTTTGCTCCTTGTTCCTCCTGCCCTCTCATTTATAATCCCCCGAAGAACCAGTAGATAGAGAAGTCTGGCTAGAAGACGAAGTGAGTGGTCAGATTCTCAGATGTTATCTTTTTCCCAGAACGCACTGGTACTGGGTGTCTGACATGTTCTATACATCTTTCTAGTGTCAACCTCATTAAACAAATGCGACTTGATGTATAGCTCTCAAGAAATGAAATTTCATGCAGTGAATTTGCTTTATTCCACCCTGTGTTCTTCCCTTTTCTCCCTCTCTCTTCTACTTCGGGAGTGATTTTGTATAATCTTGCTTTCTAGCATAAGTTTACATGGTGACCATTCATACTTTTATACCCTGAAAAAAAAGTGGTTTTCTCATATTTAAAGAAATATCTGTGTTTTAAGCTCACAGCTGGACGTTTCCTACTTCCTAAACCAGGAATCATTACCACTGGATAAGATGTGATATACCATTCAGAAGGAGGTTCAGTATGTTAACTTTGGTCAGATATGTATGTGGATTTTCTCTAAATATTAGACATATCTGTTGCAACAAGCTTGTTGTAAATTTCATAGTCTTCTATGTGTAATTATGTATAAATGTGCTAGAACTGTGTTTTATGGTCTAATTCAAGGTTAACACAATATCCTGTAAGCCAGAAGGACATTGAACACTTTGCCAGAATAGTAAATATTACTTTCATCCTTTTTTTCCCACTTTTTTTTTTTTTCCCTTCGGCTTAAAAGAATTTTTAAAAGAAATATATTTTTGAACTAAAATAAACCTTCTTTAATAAGACTATATATTATTTACGGAAAAATGCCACTAAACTCAATTAGTACTGGTCTCACCACTGTGTAGAGTTGAAGTTGTTGAATTTTTTTTAATGTACTTCATTGAAGTCATTTACTGAATCTGGGGCAATATTCTATTTTTAATCAAGTTTAAAAGTATAATGCATGAGAAAACAGCAACACACCATATAGATTTTTGTAGATGCATTGCTGTAAAAAATACACAGGGAAATGCATAAAGTTTATGCCCATCATCTTTCTTTTACTAAGAAAAATTGTTTGAATGTTGTTTTAAACAGGTAATTCCTTATTTCTACCCCTCTGTATTATTAATTGGTAGCTTATTAGAGTTATTTTAAAGTTATTATTACAGTCTTTTTAATTTAATATTTTATGATATAGCACTACTATTTAAAATGAGTGTGTTGGATAACAGCAGCCATCCAAAACATTGTCTGTTGCTCAGAAACAGAAAAAAATAAAATAATGGAAAGCAGAGCTATTGTATTAAATGAATGACTAGCTATATTTCATATATTAAACAAAAGCTCAGAATAGGGTCCTTTTAAATGCTTTCTTATTGAGCAATCCAATCATTGTGAACTTTGAAGCTGAATATATATGTTTTTAAAATGAAAGAATCTGTTTTGTTTTTTTTTCCCTTGGGACATGATGTTGAAGTTATGGGTAAAAACAAGGTTCAAGATTTAACAAATATATTAATCTCTGCTTCTGAATTTCTCTCAGGCCTTTTAATACGTAAATAGTTTTGAAGATCTAAACTACATTTATTCTGATTTTTATGGGCCTGATATAAACAAGTGTTGGATTATGGCATTATTCTATTTGATTATAATATAACGTTTCTATTAAAATGATTTTTAAGAACCTTCCCAAAATTCCAATAACACTATTTCAAGGAATATAACATGGTAGTGGAGATTAGCTAGCCCTAGAATACCTTGGCAAAAGTGTTCAAGTAGCAAGAGTTTTTCTAGTCTTATGTCCTATATACATCTGTTAAATTACTCAGAGATCTCATTAAATAAAGTTAATGTACTTGTAAAACAGTAGGGAGAGACAGTATATCATTGTAACTGTTAGAAAGAGCCATTCTGGCAAGGAGGGAGCCAAGAAGGCTAGGTGTATGCTGGTCAGTGTAGATGTTTCTAGGCCATAAATCTTGGCCCTTTCCTGCCTAGTTATTGTGTATTTCTTTAGGTGAGAGATTGATTGTAGCAATGGAAGATGAATTTGCCCATAGACCATTTCTTTTTTTTTTTTCCTCTTTATACTCCTGATGCCTCGCCAAGGTGATAATGCTTTTTTTTTTTTTTTTTTTTTTTTTTTTTTTTTTTTTTTT